TGTCATCTTTGTCGAAACTTCATGTTACTTTACTTACGTTAATTTTCCTGCATAAATTAAAATTGGAATAAAAACTAATAATGACGATCTTTTCTTTGTCTGTTTGTTTTGTTTGTTTGTTTGTTTGTTTGTTTGGTAGCTCGCCTCCCACGAATGTGTCCCGGGTTCGATTCCGGTTGAGTTTGTTGTTGGGTCTCTTCCTTGCTCCGAGAGGTTTTTCTCCGGGTACTCCTGATTTCCCCTCTCCCGCTCAAAAACCAACATTTCCAAATTCCAATTCGATCCGGATCATTGTCAAGCATTTTATCACGAGCCTCTGGCTCGGGTGATTGGGCAAGCACTCCCTGTGTTTGACATTAAATTTCCGTTTACATTTTTTTTTACTTATGTTACTTTCTTACAGAGATTCTCTGTAGCCAGCCCACAGACCTTGGTATTATCCTGGATTCTTCCGATGGCATTGGTAGCAATTGGTTCAAGGTTTGTTCTGCTCAAGGTCACTTACACACAAAACTATTACTTCCTGCTGTACTGAAAGTCATCTAGCTGTAAATGAGAGTAAATCCTAACGTTGTTCTCTTTGAGCAGTTGGTTCTTTTAGTAGCAGTTATTGGTCTTATTAAAGTAAAGTAGCTGGAATAGCCTGGAATAGCTTTACTAATTGCGGACTTGTACAATAAAGGGATTGTTGTTGTTGTTTATTATTATTGTGTTGTTGTCACTCAGGCTCACATGTATAGGCGCATTAGCCTCTTCCCAGTTCTCCGTGGCGCCTCCTGGTCTATGATCTGTTGCATAAACTACACTCTGTTCTTCAGTGTTAATTATTCCAGTCTCTGTCATCCCAGGTAGTTGACTTCGCCAAAGCTCTGGTGGCTTTTTTCAACGTAGGTCCAATACGTAGTCGTGTCGGCATTATCACTTATGGCACTGAAGCAGAGCTGGCTTTGGACTTCAACACTTTTCAAGGTGATAATCTCTCCTCTGAAGATGTGCAAGGCTTAATTGAAAATCTGGTGCCGCGAGGAGGAGATCGCTTCATAGACAAGGCTTTATCACTGGCAAATGAACAGCTGTTCACTATGGAGGCGGGGATGAGAGTAAATAATAATGAATCTAACAAGGTGACATGTATTTGCGTTTTGATGTTCTCTGTTTGCAAATATACATAATCGAGCCTCTGAGTCACTCTTTTACCAGTTCGTAATGTCATTATCGTTTTGCAGTGAAATAAAATTAAACAGTACATTTTAGGCTTATTCACAAAAACACGCTGAAATCACTTGAATCAAACCCAAATCAACGTAGCAGAATTTTCTTTACGTCATTGTCGAACATCAGTTAATTTAGTAGCCGAGTTTTCTGCGGCTTGGATCAGTTATATTAGACGCGACTGGAAAGTTACCAACAAAAAATCCCCGAGATGGACTCACATGAAAAAAGAAGGAGTGCTGTTCGTACCATTTAGGGTGTTCAGCCTCAAAAGCTCCACAGCGGGAGCTTAGGGTATTGAGCCGGAAAAAAATCTCACAGGAGAAATATGTTGTTTTAGAATTGGTACTTCTTAGGAGTGAAAAACATTTCAAACAACGCCCACAAAACAGAATCTTGGTACTTCTTAGGGGTTCTTTTCAAAATTTCTCACGAGCATCCCCGTCCTTTTTATTTATATAGGAGTTCTTCCCCGGGCAAAAAGGCTTGGTGATAGTTTCGTTTTTTACTCTGTCCATTACGGCTGTATTCTAACTTGAATGCAGAAGAAATGAAGAGAAGAAATCTTTTTATAATCAGCAAATAATAAATGGTCATTTAATAGTGTCGTACCTTTTCTATATATTTCGGTCGCCTTCACTATGCTGCCAACCAAAATGTGATTAAGTTATTTTCTTTTAATTATATTTCCAGGCTTTAATTCTGTTAACGACTGGAAAACAAACCAAAGACCGAGGCCGTTTCACGCCATTAAGGGAAGCATCCCAGCCTATCAGAGACAAAGGAGTCAATATCTACGTTGTGGGACTTGGTTCTGATGACGATATTGACGTCAATGAGCTGATACAAATCGCAGGCACGCAAGAGAACGTGGTTACCGCTGATGTCTTTGGAGAACTTGTTGCGCTAGCAGAGGAAGTATCAAAAGTCGTTTGTGGTAAGGAAATACAACTAAACCTGTAACTATTGTGGCTTAGAAGGAGTAGGATCTATAGACTTTAAAAGTCTATAACGCTTTCACCTTTATATAAATACTGGGACAAAATATCGCTCCTACCTTTTGAGACCGCCGTTGTTTTATATTTTATGACAAGTGTCTTGTAAAGGAGCTACGTCACGATTTGCGGATCTTGCCAAGTTTAGCCTAAACTTTTCGAGTTAGTCGTTTGTAATCCACATCAATCTTCTCCGTCCTTAACCATTGTTGTTCCTTTATGGTTTATCAATGTCTCTTTGGTGTTTTTCTATCTTAGTGAACTACTATTTTAAGGTGTCCTTCAGTTTAACTTTGTATGTGGCTTTTTTTTTTACTTATGTTACTTTCTTACAGAGATTCTCTGTAGCCAGCCCACAGACCTTGGTATTATCCTGGATTCTTCCGATGGCATTGGTAGCAATTGGTTCAAGGTTTGTTCTGCTCAAGGTCACTTACACACAAAACTATTACTTCCTGCTGTACTGAAAGTCATCTAGCTGTAAATGAGAGTAAATCCTAACGTTGTTCTCTTTGAGCAGTTGGTTCTTTTAGTAGCAGTTATTGGTCTTATTAAAGTAAAGTAGCTGGAATAGCCTGGAATAGCTTTACTAATTGCGGACTTGTACAATAAAGGGATTGTTGTTGTTGTTTATTATTATTGTGTTGTTGTCACTCAGGCTCACATGTATAGGCGCATTAGCCTCTTCCCAGTTCTCCGTGGCGCCTCCTGGTCTATGATCTGTTGCATAAACTACACTCTGTTCTTCAGTGTTAATTATTCCAGTCTCTGTCATCCCAGGTAGTTGACTTCGCCAAAGCTCTGGTGGCTTTTTTCAACGTAGGTCCAATACGTAGTCGTGTCGGCATTATCACTTATGGCACTGAAGCAGAGCTGGCTTTGGACTTCAACACTTTTCAAGGTGATAATCTCTCCTCTGAAGATGTGCAAGGCTTAATTGAAAATCTGGTGCCGCGAGGAGGAGATCGCTTCATAGACAAGGCTTTATCACTGGCAAATGAACAGCTGTTCACTATGGAGGCGGGGATGAGAGTAAATAATAATGAATCTAACAAGGTGACATGTATTTGCGTTTTGATGTTCTCTGTTTGCAAATATACATAATCGAGCCTCTGAGTCACTCTTTTACCAGTTCGTAATGTCATTATCGTTTTGCAGTGAAATAAAATTAAACAGTACATTTTAGGCTTATTCACAAAAACACGCTGAAATCACTTGAATCAAACCCAAATCAACGTAGCAGAATTTTCTTTACGTCATTGTCGAACATCAGTTAATTTAGTAGCCGAGTTTTCTGCGGCTTGGATCAGTTATATTAGACGCGACTGGAAAGTTACCAACAAAAAATCCCCGAGATGGACTCACATGAAAAAAGAAGGAGTGCTGTTCGTACCATTTAGGGTGTTCAGCCTCAAAAGCTCCACAGCGGGAGCTTAGGGTATTGAGCCGGAAAAAAATCTCACAGGAGAAATATGTTGTTTTAGAATTGGTACTTCTTAGGAGTGAAAAACATTTCAAGCCACGCCCACAAAACAGAATCTTGGTACTTCTTAGGGGTTCTTTTCAAAATTTCTCACGAGCATCCCCGTCCTTTTTATTTATATAGGAGTTCTTCCCCGGGCAAAAAGGCTTGGTGATAGTTTCGTTTTTTACTCTGTCCATTACGGCTGTATTCTAACTTGAATGCAGAAGAAATGAAGAGAAGAAATCTTTTTATAATCAGCAAATAATAAATGGTCATTTAATAGTGTCGTACCTTTTCTATATATTTCGGTCGCCTTCACTATGCTGCCAACCAAAATGTGATTAAGTTATTTTCTTTTAATTATATTTCCAGGCTTTAATTCTGTTAACGACTGGAAAACAAACCAAAGACCGAGGCCGTTTCACGCCATTAAGGGAAGCATCCCAGCCTATCAGAGACAAAGGAGTCAATATCTACGTTGTGGGACTTGGTTCTGATGACGATATTGACGTCAATGAGCTGATACAAATCGCAGGCACGCAAGAGAACGTGGTTACCGCTGATGTCTTTGGAGAACTTGTTGCGCTAGCAGAGGAAGTATCAAAAGTCGTTTGTGGTAAGGAAATACAACTAAACCTGTAACTATTGTGGCTTAGAAGGAGTAGGATCTATAGACTTTAAAAGTCTATAACGCTTTCACCTTTATATAAATACTGGGACAAAATATCGCTCCTACCTTTTGAGACCGCCGTTGTTTTATATTTTATGACAAGTGTCTTGTAAAGGAGCTACGTCACGATTTGCGGATCTTGCCAAGTTTAGCCTAAACTTTTCGAGTTAGTCGTTTGTAATCCACATCAATCTTCTCCGTCCTTAACCATTGTTGTTCCTTTATGGTTTATCAATGTCTCTTTGGTGTTTTTCTATCTTAGTGAACTACTATTTTAAGGTGTCCTTCAGTTTAACTTTGTATGTGGC